TATTAAGTAGGGAAAGCTTAGAATAAAGAAAACAGTTTTATGTAGACATTTGACATGTTGATATAAATAATAAAATAAGACAACAAGTCACTACTACTACTTCATGGTCGGGCTGTATTTTGAGGGAATTGAAGTTTGATTTCCAAGACTATGATGAAATATATATTTACAGTGGGAAATAAATTTAGTGATATTAGAGGGAAAATTTTTTTTATTCTCCAACTGGTGCAACAGTCATTATGAAATTTAAGTTGAATAATTTAATGTGCAAAATGAAGCTCACACACCAAGTAAAATTTAAATCTTCACTTATAATTTTCTAGCCAACAGGAAAACTTATGGTGAATATGAAATAAATGTTTTCCATGTGAAAATAAAGGTCATTAAGTTAATAATGGATCAAAGAAGACTTCCAACTCAGAATTCTGTTACATAAAAACACACACACACACAAAAAAAAAACAAAAACAAGCAAGCTATATTGTGTTAATATTTAATTATTTACATGCAGACTATTGTCCTCATCATTGTTGTTATGTGGTTTTCATCAGGTGGATATCAATCCGGGTGACCTACAGGGAATTCCAAACAGAACTCTTTATTTAATCTACAGGCTAAACTGTTCTCATTCTAATGATATATAGTCTAGTTTTATTTGTAGTACTACTCACTTACGGCCCTGTTTTTACCAAGTACATGCTGCCTCATCCAGGAACTGAACTCATAATTACTATGTTACTAAATTCATGAACCAACAGTTTGACCCACTAGGCTATTGTCCTGAGAGAAGTTAACCCTAACCCTGCTGATGAGTGCTGCTGCTGCTTGTTATGCTTAACAACACTCACTGGAGTTTGCTTTTTCTTACAGCTGCTGCTCCTTTTGAATACTAGCTGTCATTAGTCTTTCTTTATTAGTGGCTCCCACATTGTATTTATTTCTATACTCATAGCCTAACATATGTGTCGAGTCTTTCAAACATCTAACTCTCCAGTGTTCTATCTTGTCCAGTATTTTTACCTTAATCATTCTAAAAATTAGCCTGTTTTGAGCTATATTCTTATAGAGATGTATGATGTCATGATTTTCTTTCCATATCATGTGACAAGCATTTTGAACCAGTGAACCAATTTGGATCTTTCATTTTCATCTGCTTTGAATCAAATACTATTGATTCACCACTGAATGGTAGATTTTGACCAAAACCCGCAGTGCAGACATAACTTCTGTTGGTGCCCTTGTCTCATACAGGTACAGGGTGCGATGGGTAAATTGTTGCCAGTTAATATGTTTAATTGTACACATGTGTGAGTACCATAATGCAATTCACTCTGCCAGAAATTTGGAAATGGCATACTGTATTGGTTTTGTGCCAGAAGCTCCAAGACGAACATTTCAGAGTGTCTGAGTGTCAATCTGAGAACAGTGCAGAGGATTTAGAAAGAGTTGGAGGAGTGTAATGGTGATTATGAAGGTACGGCAACTCAGAAAAGTCCCTCTGATAAGAAGAGAACTCCTGAATTTGATTATTATGTGTGAGGCACAGTAGGGTGAGAGACTGACAAAACACCTTTTAACACCAAAGATGAATTGAAGGCAAGGATTATGGCAGCATTCATCAACTTAAACAAGGAGATCATCCAGAAAAGATGCAGGAGATTCCAAAGTTGTCTGAAGGCCATGAATGAAGTCAATGATGATTACTGAATAAATTTACTCTTTAGTATTTCATGTGATGTGGTTGCAGAAATTGTCTTATGGCCATGACTGGGTTCACAAACACATGAGGAGAGGAATTATATAAAAAATGAGTTTAGCCTAAGATAGGGGCAGACAAAAATTGCCTTAATGGACCCCTTAAAATAAGGGCAACACATTTTTTAGAATTTGCAAAATTTGACTTATTTGTAAAAAGTAATATTAATGTAAAATCTTCAAAAAATTGATAAAAATAAACAAAAAGCTTTAAAATCAAATTTTTACTGACAATAGATTATATGACTAGAATTTTTAGCAAGTATACATTGCTGTGGAACATTTTCAAAAATTATTAGCTTAGAATATGTGGAAAGAATGAGATTGTTGTGTTACTCAACTGTATAAAAAATAAAGCCTTTCAACATAAAAGCAAAATAACTATTGAAACAAAAACAAAAAATAATAGTTACAGTAAATGTCAAAATGACCCTTTACTTTAGTGACATGAATATTAATTAGTAATAGATAAAAATATGTCACGACTAATGTTTGTTGATTAGCATTCAGAAGAACTTCCTTTACTCAGGCAATTTGTCAGATTCAAAAAACATTCATTTTCTATTATTTTACATGGGGAAGGGAGAGGTCCTGTTTTTACAATACAACATCAAACTGATCCCTGTCTTTTTGACATAGTTTCCTTTCCTTTTTGAGAGGACCAGTATTGCGGTTTTAAAATGAAATGTATTAATGTGTGAGTTATACATATGATGTTCATTTAATTTTCTGTAGACATAAATGTTGCAAGAATGAAATATTGTAACATTTGTTGAAATTCCTTTCATGTACCTCTTTTTTTTAAAAATATATCTGCTAAGACTCTCTTTGGAAAATTCCCATGACGAACTCATTAAGAAAAACATAACATTTTTGGTTCTTAATTAAAAAAAGAATAAAATAAAAGAATTGAAGGCAAAAATTGCTGTGGATGTGGCTTATGACGTCGATTCAGGTAAGGTACAGAGAATTGCAAACTGAAGTCCTTAATTTTAAAATAAATCAATGGGGTAGAGAGACTGTTCTCGTTCACTGCCCATGTCGATGGATATATCGTCTTGTTCTTAGTACTGCTTCTTGGCCTATGGATTGAACTAACAATTATGTTGCCAAATTCAAACATCACTGTCACCAATTTCAAATATCACTACGGGCCTAAAGTCCGCTTATTTTGACTATAACTTATCCAAACTAATTGTTTAGTGAAAATGTTTATCAATAAAAACTAAATAAACAGACTTTTGTTATAAAGCCTTGGGTCGTAAATTAATGATTGCGATTCAGATTAGGGAAGAGAATATTTGAAAAATGAAACAGACACTTTTTTCATTTTGAAACAAGTTTTTCTTTTAGAATAATTAAATAAATATATTTTTTTAAGTTTCACATTCATACGGGTGCTGTTGGAAAAAAAAAAAGAAAAAAAAAAAGAAGAAAACTGCATTTATTTCAAAATAAATGGGCATATGTTGCTTAAACTGTTAATTTTTTTCCCAACGAATTATTCAGATGAGAATCTTTATCGTTGTTGTTTCGATTGCTAAGTCTTTTTTGACTGATCGGAAAAAAAATATATATATATATATATATATATATATAATGACAGATTTTTTTAATGTTACACTTACAAAATAAGAAAAATCACGCTTTTGAAATTTTAGAAATACCAAGAACATTTCACGGAAAAAAATATAGCATTTATTTATTTTATTTACATTTTTACTGAATTTCAAACAGAAGTAAATTTTATTTTCTGGAAACTGAGTAAACTTTATTTTTCTATTTTATTATTTTTTAAAAAGCATTTATTTATTTGTTCAACGAAGGCAATTAACTTCCGTCTCAAAATACAATGTCAGGTTGTATGTCGGTCTTTATTTCTATGTCGTAAAAGAAAATTAAATGATTGTAATTTCTATTTTCTTTCTATCTTTCGGTTAAAACACAACCACTGTTAATAATCTGCTATTCCGCATACCAAATACACCAATTTACATAAAAATAAATGTTCTTAATTTGATTAAGACTTTTTATAAAAAAAAAATATTCTTTTTTTTTCAATATGGTGAACATCGGAATAAAAGGAAACATTACCTTGAATGATTACGAAAATTTTTTTAAAAGTATTCCCACCACTTTTTTTTGGCACCAATCAAGACATTTGACCTGAAGGGTTTTTATTTTTAAACAAATTCCAAAGGTTTTACTTTTGTTTACTTAAAATTAAAAAAAGGACAAGGAAGCGAAATACACTTAATTCGATTCAATATGCGTGTAATTAAATAAACAATATAACTACACATAAATAAATATACATTCATTGCTGTACACGTGTGGTTGACAAGAAACATAATATTTATGTGCCTGTGTACACATAAGCAACACATGACCCTGACGAAACAATACACCCATGTGCTGTGTAAAAAATGAATCACCTGACTTTTTTTTCTTTTAAGTTTGAATTTATTGTACAAACTAGTGTTTATAAACTTTGTTGTAATGTAAATAAATATTGAACAATTCAATAAAAAAAAAATCAATTAAAAAAACGAACAAGTGCTTCTTCTTATTTCGATGGACTCTTATTGTTTTAGAGTGGGAATGGACTGACCAACAACAATACTGAAAAATATTACAGCCAAAAAAAAGGTAAATTGAAATATTCTAGCGAGAATATTCCAATTTACCTATTTGAATCTATAAGAAAAACAAAGAAAAAGTACTTATTACGCAACTCAGGTGTGATCAACATTATGAATCAATAAATTCATTGGGATAAAAAAAACCGCTTTAGCATAAAAAATAACTAGAAACTTGCAAATAACACCCTAATTAGAGGATTAAAGTTAAAATATTAAAAATAAAACTAGTAGGAAAAAAGAAGCACTAATAAAATTTATAAATAAATTTAACATTTTTTCAGGGGAAAAATGACAAATGTTTGCTTGGAAATACCAAGTAAAGAAAGTCATTAAAAAAAGTACATATCTGGAAAAATTGAATGAACATCTGTAACTCAAAAAAATGATATTCAAAGTTACTTATTTGATTACAATAATTAAAAAAGAAGGATGTGTTTTATTTATTTAAATTAAATTTAAAACTGAAACAAATCACTATTTAAATAAAAAAGAACTTTCCATGCAACTAGTGATGTGTTCAATCGAATAAATTTTTTACAAAACAATTTTCCTTCAAAACAAGAAATGTGAAAGTTTTTCACTTTGTTTTTTTTTTTTACTTACGTGTTTAGTAGAGAGAAATCATAGTCGCCGATTTTGCAGTCAGATTGTAACGATGCTGAGGAAGACGGGATCAATAAAATAGTAAGAACACAATATAGTAAATTACCAACGGAGTCCAAATTATGAAGCGACCGACCCATAATTATAGTAAAAGAAAGAGACGGCGACCACAACAACCGCATGGATAGAGCACCGAATGAAAAATGTGAGTCTAGAGAATGAAAGTAAAGCCTTCGTCTGTAAATTGGTCAAAGTTTGGGCAATCGATATTTAAAAGGGTGAGGCTTTTGTGATGAGGTACATTAGTAGAGACATTAAATGACAACAGCGGAGTTTGAGGGGAAGTCGGGAAAAGAAAAAAACATTGAAAATGAATCGCTTCCTTTCTGGATAGTTGTTTTTTAATCTAAGGGCAGATAACTCTGTTCTTTTTTGTCGCCTGTTGCTACAAGGTTGGTTCATGTGACTATCACATGACTTATCCAAATAGTCACGTGGTGTTTATACAACGGTTTAGTCATGATCCTAATGCTTTTTTTTTGTTAAAATTATTCATTTGATACGATTTCACTATTCTTTTTTTTTTAATTTAATTAATATTTATTAATAAATATTATACATATCTGGATTCTAATTCTTTTCATCTCACATGTTTCGTAAAATTAAGCATATGCTTTTGTTTTGTCTACTAGAAGCTTGTACAAAAAAGAAAGAATAAGCTAAAAACGATGACAACAAACTAAAAAAGGCTATAAATTAGCTAAAAGTAGAAACCTTTTTTTTTTAGCCTTTCTGTTTTGTTAGTGGTTACTTTTAGAGTAAAGACTAAGTTTAATTGTAAATAGTCAACCTAGTAAAAAAAAAAATCAAAATACAAAAATAGTCATGAGAAACTAAGGAAAAGGAAGGTTACATTTTGGTTTCAGGTTTTGCATTTCAAAGTCGTAGCAGCCTCATTCTTCTTCTATTAAAAAAGGATTGTAATTTCCTCCCACACAGAAAGACTTAGAAGGGCCACAATTATGTATGTTACAGAATAAATTGTCAGAAAGACCGAGAAGACTTTCGGCTTTCATTGTCTTCTTAAAACTTTCAACAGGTTTTGTTTACTTTAAGAAAAATTCAAAATTTTAACGAATAAAATGGCAGCTGTTGTAACAACGTTGCTCCACTCGCATTTCAATAAGTGGATTATTTATGCATAAAAAAAAACATTTTTTTTTTTTTACAATACACGTATTGTAAAGAACTTTATTGCAAAATCATTTACTTTTTTTAGTTTAAATTTCATGTACAGGACTGTTGTATATTCCAGAATTCAGCAGACGATACAAAATATAATTTTGTTGTTTTTTAACACTTTTTGATTTAAAACTAAAGAAATAAGGAAAGAAAACTCTTTAGATTGAACATTTATCCACAACCGGTGTCCATTAGCATTTAACTATCCTAAAAATACCTGGATAATACAACAGACAGGGGGATTATTACCTAATTTAAGGAAGGTTATATTTGCTACCGTGTAATACTGGAAAGTGAAATTGTAATGATCATCATCATCACATACTTACACAAATTCAAATTATACAACAACAACAAGCTTTCATTGGATAATAAATCAACACTACTTTGTAATAGACAATTTATGAATCGCAGTTATGCGACAATTTTATAATCGCTATATTTTCATGTTGTCGATTTTGTGCACTTTTGGGAGAATCGGATCCCGAGAACCTTCTCAGCTTAGCAAATATTTTTCAGGAAATATCAACTTAATTGGTCAATAAACACACAAGTGGGCGTTGCAATCCACCCACGCACAATATATTTTTCCAGCGCGTGACTAAGTCAAGTTTCCCGCCAAGGCGTTGTGAGCCTGTCAGGTGATTACATTATCTATAAAAAGCAAAGACGAGTTTGCATCTCGCTTTCTTCTCTATTCTGCAAAATGTAGTCCCAGAGAATTATCGCCTTGACCTTGCGGTCAGACGTTAAAGAACATTACACGTACGTACGAACATTCACCACAACTACGAACGTTCACACACACACACACACACACACACACACACACACACACACACACACACACACACACACACTGTTAACTGTCTATGTACTTTGTAAATGTTTTGTTTAATACATGTATTTGTTTATATATATCGGTCTTGTTTGTTTGTCTTCCTTATCTTCAGTTGGACTTAATCTAAGTCCAACATTCTATTATATCTGGACCATCACCTAGCAAGAAATATAAACGCACGTGTTTTCTTTACATCTTCACCCACCGGTCCTCTACATAATGGTGACCGTCGACGTGATTTTGCGAAGGAACGCCAATAGTCAACATAATGGTCCAGTACAAAATCATTTGGGAGCTAGGAATGAAAAGAACCTCAGACATTTGGGTCGCTAGGCTTTTGAAAGAAAAAAGCAACAGAAAATATGCCTCCAAGTCATGTCACGAGTAGGGAAAATAAATATAGATGTTGAAAGCTCACAAATTCAGATCAGAATTGAAATAAATATAAAACTCGTCATTGAACTGAAGCAATTTGCTATTAATGTCAATAGCAATGATTGCTTTCTTTTGATGTTCTTGGTAGTTAAAACTTATCAGATAAATGTTATCTAATTGAAAATTGGACCTAAGCGAGTTTAGTATACTTTTTTTTATTATTTGGACTATGGTTGTAATTTCACATTTTGAAACCAAAGTAAATCCTCTCTCTTTCGAAGAATTTAGGACCTAGATAGTTTATTTAACAAGGTCATGAGAGAAGTGGGGAAAGGCTTGTTATCTCTGACTATCCTAGACCTAGCTAAGATGATTCACAATTCATTCATTCTTACAATTGACTAATTCATCACAAGAACCCATCCATCTACACCCAATCCATCATTTACCAAAATACCACATATTTGCAGGGAACCTACTAAAAAAATACTCCATGGTATAAACATTTCAATATGTACAATTGTGGGTTAACTCACTTGATTCTGCCAAAACACATCCTAAGGAGTGTTCTTTAAGCCTATAAATAGGTAATAATATTATCACTCATCCTCTTTTTAGTCTTTTTAGCTCTGTCTTTTAGGTGTAGTCGCACAAAGATAGGAACACTACTGACAAGACATATTCACTTCCTTGGTCCTCCTATGACTTTTGTATTCTCTAACACACACTTGTTATACACACAAACACATTCTTATTATAACTTGTTTTAACATTTTTTCCTTTCTTTACAATTGTCTACACATGTAATTCCTTTTCTTAATACATGCATATTTATTGTTTTGTTACTCATTTTTACCTGGATTCACATTGAGTCTGTAATGGCCAGTGGTAGATGGACCAATACTATTTATATTAACGATATTTCCAACGTGCAGATTTCAAGTAAACAACAATAACTCCAAATTGTTAATCAACAAATATATATTGAAATAACATACAAGAACAAACATGCAATAAAATTGTGTCCAATGCATAGATTAAAGAAATGAAGTTGTTCCCCTTTAACTGTAGATTGATTTGTAATTAATTGTTCGAAGAAAGTTCTCTTGAGAGAAAATGTTAAGAAACCAATATTAGAGCAAAGTTTGCATGTTAAGAATTAATAACACAAGAATACAATTAATTAAAAATGTGTTGTGTTATAGAATGGTTTGAATCAACAGAGTTCTGGTTGATTGTACTTGGCAAAGTCACAGAGAGAAAATGTAAGTTTGTAGTTACGAAATTCTGTGTCTGTGCGTGCGTTGAGCAAGATCGTGGATTTGTGTTGACGGCTGGAATCTTACTGGATCTTATTGACGACTTGTGAAAAGTCGCCCCTTTTAAGAAAAAAAAAAAAGGTAGGCTCCCACGGAAACACAGGAAAACTTAATCGTGCATTAAAAATATGTGATTGGTTAAAAATTAACCAATGGCTATACTCGTACTAACCGAACAGGCAAGCAAGCTCAAAACCAAAAGATTCAAAGAAACGACTGCGATGTTAGCCATCGCAGTCGTTTCTTTGAATCTTGTCCTATGTAAAGGTAGTAGTGATTTATTAGCCAATCGCAGGCGAATAAAATGTGGGCGTGGAAAAACATAGCAACCGCTACAAGTCTGTCAATATTGTTTGCGGGATAAATGTTCCAAGAACCCATAAATATTTGCTACCCAAAATTCCTACAACATAATGGTGACTAATATTTACAGAACCATATCACTAACATCCCGCGATACAATTGTGCTTTTCTTTACTTTTTTTTTTTTTTTTTGCAGGATTTTCTTACAAAAATATATAAAAATGTATATCATGAAATGAAGGGGGAGAGGATGAACCCAAAAACGAAATAAAAATAACAGAACACTCAAACTAAAATAAAATTATGTTAGTAAGATACGTCCACCCCACACAAAAATAAGAGCGGCCTCAGTATTCTACCAATAAGCAGAATCAAGAAGTGCGCTCATAGAGATAAGGGAGAGGCAAAATAAATTCATTTGTATGAACTAGATTTTCAGACAAAAGGGTAATTTTAATTTGCATATGTATATTTATTTAGCATAGTTTAGAGAAACTACGAAGGAGTTACTGTACTTGAAAAATTAACTTTAAATAAAATTATTGAAACTCAAAATTCATCTTTCTGTCAATGAAACCATTAGGTTAAAATCACTCAAAACTAAAGCCTTTTTGTATTGCATTCAAGAATGGCAAAGAAGAGTGGTGAGCATGACTTAACAATTAATTGCAAGAAGACATAATGTATGCTTGTTAGCAAGAAGTACAACCCAAGATGTGAGGTACGAATTGCAGATATTAGAATCAATTAAATATGGCAATTTAATTCTCTGTGTTAAGAGACAACAGAAAATGTAACATCGAAATTTCAAGGCACATTGGAATAGCAAAAGATGTCTTCCAAAAGCTAAACAAAGAATTAATAAATAAGAAAAATTAATTAGAAACAAAGGAAAGAGTGATGATCTGCTATGTAATATCAATGTCTCTATATTGCAGTAAATGCTGGGAAATTTCCTCACAGACGAAGAGAAGACTTGAGGTAACAGTGATCTTGTTCTACAGAAGGATGCAGAGAGTACCAGGGATGGAACATGTAAGCAATGTAGACATTTGAAGAAAACTAGAAAGAAAAGAACAATAGTACTTAGTTTCAGAAAGAG